TTTTAAGTGCTTGATGTAAAAGATCATTCAATGCCTGACCTGCGATTAGAAGCCAGTGCTGGGGAGGAGCGGGCGAGCCGCAGGAGCAGCCATGCTCGCCTGGGCCAGCACAGGCTGGCCGCCTCCCTCCCGCTGCAGCCAAAGCTCGTGGGAGCTCACACACAGCGAGCCGGGAGACAGGGCCATGAGCAAGTGTCCACGCACACGTGCACTGGCAGCCATGGCTCCACACACCAGTGCACTGGCAGCTCCCTGCGCCGGCGCGGTACGTCCCCGGGTGGCACAGGGTGGGTTACTGGGGCTGCGGGACCCCTGGTGTGGTCCCAGGGGAAACGATGCTCTCCTGGGCACGGGGGCACGTTGGAGAATGGCGATATGCCTGGAGTTTCAACAGGCTCTGCTGTATGTGATTGTTTAGCAGTGGCTGACCCACCAAGGTCCCCTTTTTGGGGATATCCGTGTACAGGCCAGCACGTACTGCCCTTGCAGGGCTCTTTGCAAAAGCCTCGCAGTCCGTTTTGCAGTTTGTTTCGTGAAAGCCAGGCAGGATTGCCCGGCTGGATGTGCCGGAGCTGTTACGGCTGAGCAAGTCGGCACCCATCAGCCGAGCGCGCCAGGACACCGCGTGCTCCTTTGTAGTCTGTCCCAGTGGTACAGTCATCCCAAACAGCCCGGTTTGGTGGGTGCTTTCAGTAGTACTCCCAAACACTGCTTCCCAACAGCAATTCATGGCGTAAGAAACATGATGTTTCCCCTCCGCCTCCTGTAATTCATTGATCAAAGAGATCTTTCAGCAATGGCTTAAATTCACAGGTTGTTTGCAAACTTTTCCTTCTAGGAGAAGGTGTAGGACTTTGACCACAAAGGTGCTGGCGTGAGTTTTGTCTTTGGTCACTCCTTGGACCAGGAGAGGCTGCAGTTCTGCCTTTATTTAGTAGGGACAGGAAGGTTTGTAAACTGTCAGAGTTAAACTGGAAACACACCCCAAACCTAGGAAAACTGCAGAACACAAAGGCATTTATAAACTAATGTAATTACCTTCCTCAGTGCCTTTGAATAAAGTTGGCTCCACTTTAAAGGCTTTTTCCTACTCTTCTTTTACATCATGTTCTTTCCTTTCTCCTGGTTTCTTTCTTTTTTAATTTGTCTTCTCCTCAGTGCCCTCCCCTTCTAGCTCCCAGCAGCTGATAATTTCCAAAATTACTATCAGTTTTTGTTAGCCAAACTTGGCGTTTAGACGTTTTCCTTTTGAAGGTGAGAAGAGCACCCTGGGAAGATGGATGTCTGCTGCACCAGGTTCTCACGGCCTGTCCAAGTGCCTGGGAGACCTCCCTGGGGCAGGATGGGGCTTGCCCGGCTGGCCAGCGTGCCACGGCACTGAGCACCCACAGCTGGCCTGGCTTCCAGCGCACTGGCCAGCCCATCCCCATGGCATCAGGGCTCCTGACGTTGTCTGAAGCCTAATTTTAACTCAGCCTGATGTTTTCCATATTCCTCTGGTATTTCTCCCAGCCAGCTGTGAGCAGAGGTCAGAGCAAAGACGGACAAGTGGGGAAACTGAGGGCAAAACCCAGCCTGGCCCCGCACATGGCTCATGTGTGCTAATGATGCTTGTTAGGATAATCACGGGCAGAGCAGATCTGTTGTGAGAGGAGAAATAGCAGGATGCGGAGCGGCTGTGTTGTATGGCAGCAGTATTTAATAATAAAACAGTTAATGATAGCACATGATTTAAAAGAGATACGTTATCCATCCTGTGTCGTTGTCCCATGCTGCTTTCCTTATCTGGATGCAGCTCATGTTGCAAAGCCCAGAAGGTCAGTGAGGAGCCGTCTGCTGGTGCCTGGGGGGTCTGGATCAGGCCCTTTGGCCGCAGTGGCCCTGCAAGGCTCTCTAGCTACAGAGCCTTGTGCGTGCTTCGAACTGGAGCTGGACGGAGGAGAAGTTATTTTCACTGAAAACAGTGACCTTTTGTACAAAAGCAAAGTGCAGACTGAGCAGTTTTAGTTTTTCCAGTGAGTTAACGTTTTCTGCAGGCCTTTTCTCTGAAAAGCCAAATTTATCTGAAAATCCCCTGTGAAAATCCTGTGCCAGCCCAACCACCGGCCACTCGCTCATGGGGTGGGAAGTGCTGTCGGTGACCGGCTGAGCACAGAGGCAGGGGACACTGCCAGTCTGTGACCCTGTCCCTCCTGGGCTCAGCTGTCCTCTCTGGGAAGCCAGGCACATCCCACAGGGAATCAGCGATGGATAAGACAGTGTATTTGCACAAGCCTGGATTAACGTCAGCCCAGGCAAGGGACGTCTTTCTGCTCTCTGCCTGCACTCCAGCTGGACCTTTCGGGATAGGAGTGATGCCCCAGGTGAAAGGATATGTGCATCCTCCTGGGTCAGGTTTGTCCCAGGAGGGATGGTGGGTGAGAAGGCAACAGCGGAGGAAGCCATCAACAGGCGTAAGGAAAAGGTTTTCTCCCCTTGAGATGTCCCGCAGGCACTGGGCAAGGACTGGCAGCTCCATCTCCTCCACGAGCACCCCTGCAGAAGGTCCCCTTGGCTGATGTGGATCCAAAACAAACCCTTTCGGGTTATTTCAGGCAACAGAACACAGGTTGGAACCTGTTATATTTATTTTGTTTCGCTCTTCAAACCAAATTGCCCATCCCTGCTGAGCTATGTTGCTGGTGCAATGGGAGCCAGTTCCCGTGGACCTGCTGAGACTAAATGGAAAACTTCCCAACGGAAGCAGAAGCGGAGCTGGGCACGTACATCCCGCTGCGTCAGGCTCCGGGAAGGCAGCGCCTGGGCTGCCGAAGGAAAAACTCACATCCCTGCTTTTTGCCCAGGGTGAGCATCTTACAGCTCTTGCTTTAGGGACCAGAGCAGCCTGATGGAATTTGGCGGCTCTTCAAAAAAAAAAAAGTCATTTCTAGTCTCTGCCAACCTCAAGGTCTCAGTGGGCAAAAAGAAACTTCATTGAAAGAAAAAAAAAAAACAAAACCCAAACCAACCAACCAACCTGAGTGCAGGGGAAAGCAAGCAGCCCGTCCACACGTGGGGGATTTGGCTGGGAGAAGTCCGCAGGCATCTGCACCGGCCGGGACGGTGCGGCATGGCAGCATGGCAGCCTGGTAAGAGGTATGGCAGCCAGGACATCGCCGGGGGATTTTCAGCTGCGAGCTCTGCTGCAGACCAGCTGCATGAACTCAGGGAGCTCGTTTAACGTCGTTGTGCTGCGTAGAGTCCTCTCCCGTGCATATATTTGCTACCTTGTGTAGCATGTCATAAGAATTTCGGTGTTTTTTATGTGGTTTGATGTCCCTGGATGAAGGATGCTCTATAAATGCAAAGTAAGTATTCTAATGTACATCGTTTGTTTTCTTTTTAACGTAACAAAATCCTTAGCAGCCTTTCTTTCTTTGACAGTTTCCATAGCTGGTGGGTCTGTTTCTGCTGTGCCTTAGCAAAACAAATTTAGGGTTTTGCAGTGGCATATGTTCAGCATGTTCCTCAGCTTCGTGACCCGAGCAGTTCTCTTGTCATCAGCACTGCAGAGTTTCGGGTGGAAATCTGCTAAAAATCTCCCTTTCCACAAAACCTGATGACGGGAAAGGTGGATGTTAGGGTCGGTTTGGGGAGGAACCGTAAATTGAGAAGAGCGTTTGCAAGCGCTGGAGCAGCTCTGCTGGCAGGTGGCTCTGAATGAGACTGGAGAGTGGGCTGAATACAGAGTAATTCTTCCTGAATAATGCCTGTTTTGGATATTTATTCTGGGACAAAAAGTGGTTTCTTCCTGTTGAGGGTAACTCCCCGTATGAAGCAACCCCAGCAGCCTGCGAGCTCTCCTGCCAGCCAGCCCCGTTACCGGCCTCCACGTCCCCATCCCTCCTGGTGACCTGCGGTAGCTTGTCATCCCACAGACACCATGGGGTTGTGCGGGCAGGGGGAGTTCCCTGGGGAGAGCCAGCCCAGGTGCTGCTTTCTAGGCCAAAGCCCAAAACATACAGCGAGGGAAGAAGGTGATCAGAAGCGAGTGCACAGCAGGTGTGGTTTGGGAAAAGCCCTGTTAAAGCTGCTGGCAGCGCAGCCACTCTGAAACAAATTGCTGTAGTGTCAGAGCCGAGGGGGCATCTCAGGGGCTTTGTCCCAACACGGCAAAGGCAGGAAGCCGTATGCACCAGGAAAACGGTTTGCATCTCTCTAGATGAGTGCGCATTTAAGGAAACCATTCAGCCCCCTGCTCCTGCCCGAGCGTCCAGAAGCATCCAAGGCAGCAGAGACTCCCAATCCCAGCCGAGTAGTGAAAGCTTTCCCTTACCTTTACCTCCTCCTGCTTATTCCCAAGCCATTCAACAGTGCTGTGGCCATTTCGGAGCCGATCCTCAGCCAGTGAGTCC